TGTTTTTCAATGCAGCATAGTATTCCATTGTGCTAATATACCACAGCTTCTCTACCCATTCGTTTGTTGATGGGCATTTAGGTTGGGCCTAGAGGAGAAAGAGTTGCATGGTCAACTCAAAGGTGGTGCCTTTCTCGTGGTTCAAATCCACTAGAAGCTCTCTGGAAGAAAGATGGGCAATCTGTTTCCAATTTGAGAGCAATGAGTGAGTGTTAGTTATTACAACTTTATTTTTTATTTTAACCAGTGCACAATTACATTGTAAATAATTGATCTGACCACAGTTTGGCTAGTCTTCATAACCAGTATTTCTCTCCAAGGTATGATCACCTAACAACATTAACTCTTGCAAGAAGAAAACTTAATGCCAGTTTTGAGATGAGCAACATTTCTAAACTACAGAGGTATGTTCCTTTTTAAAAATGAAAGCAAAAATAAGATATATACCCTGGCTAATTCAGATGCTACAAATTAATATTATTTATTATAAATTTGCTTTTGGGATGTTGTTGTTAAGTTCTGTCAAGTCAGAACAAACTCATAGCTAACCTATAGTATTAGTATATAGTAGTGGGTAGTCAGAGATGAAATCACGAGGCACGATGGCTCACCTTTCTCCCACTGAAAAGTTGTGGGATCTGACCATGTGTTTTTTGATTGGCAGCATAGCTCCTTACCACTTTGGCTTCCAGAGCTCCCTATTTCTTTGAAAATCATAACTAATGAATATACGTGTGTGTGGTGTTGTTGTTGTTTATTGCCTTCAAGTCGAGCATGACTCATAGTGACTTTATGAACAAAATACCTGAAGCCTTTCTATAATTATCATTGTTTCTCCAAGTTCATGAAGTTTTCAGAGGCATGTTGTTTAGGAAGTGGATGCCACTCCTGCTTCCATATATTATTAATTAAATATATTATTAAATATTAAATCTGCCTATTCTGGTGTCATAGTGTTGTAGAAATTGACTGCTAAACTAAAAGTTGACAGTTCAAACCTAACAGCCTTTCCACACGGTAAAAATGAAGCAATCTGCTTCCATAAAGATTCAGCGATGAAAGTTGCCTGATTTTCCTGTTCTGCTTTATGATATCGTCATAGCCTAATTATGTACTTGTGGCAGGTATATAGTAAATATTTACACAATGAATATTGATAACTTAATATTGATGACTAAGCTTGTATTTTCTTAAGGATGTTGAGTAGTAACTTGTTCTTGGACACATTATGCAATAGGGGCAAACCTTATTTTACTATTTCACAAATATTCAGAAGAGTTTATTTTTTTATATACTAGTAAGTAGATCAGATCATTATTGGGACATGAATTACCAAGATCACTACTAAGATCTGAATCAGTGATACTGCAGATACTTGCCCAAGCGAAAGTCCTAAGCGGTCCCCTCAGGCAGTGATAGAAGGAATTGACCACTTCTCCTCTCCTAGTTAAAAGAAAGAGTTAAATAACAGAGGCCCAAAGGGAACACAAGTGTGTGTATGGGTGTGTCCATTCACTGAGGGTATGAGACATAGGCAGGCCCACATTGGGGGCTTCTAGACGAAGAGAATGCATAAAGTCATGCAGAGACATTCTGGAAATCTAGCCAGAATTCAGAAAGTTTCAGCAACTTAATCAAGGCCCAGGAAAAAAAGGAAGATTAAGTCTTGGTGAGTTTTGAGCACCTTGCAAGCTCACAGGGTGGACGTCAGACAAACTTCTGTCCTCTTGTGGAAGAAGCATGCCTGGCAAGGAAACCAAAACTGGAGTCTATCCCTTAGATGAAGCCAGAGTAACCAGGGGTAAAAAGGACATCTTCCTGCAATGTTGGACTCCAATGCCTACCCCTTAAAATTCCATCAAATGTCCACAGACTTGAGTCCAGACAGAATACCATTCCAAGGTCAGAACACAAGGTCAGGTGACTTGAGAGGGCCTGTCTTCAATGGTGTAGTGACCTCTCTTATGAATCAGAACTAATGTCTGGAAACAGAACTGAGTGTAGCTGTAGGTAGAAAGCCAGCAGCTCCAATTGCAGGAACAGATATGGTAGACAAGTGACATCCCAAAGCTTTTTCCACAGAGAAGAAAAGGAGAGGACAGAAGTAAAGACCATTTGTTGCACCTGCCTCTTGGAGGAACATAATAAATGTTTTATTACTTAACCTTTATAGTAACAGTATGATCATATTTTTCCAAAAGAAAGGCTGAGGGTATTATTTGCTCAAGATGGCATTGTTTTCAGATGTGGAAGTTGGTCATAGGCCAAATAAAGCTTACTCTGACTACAGTGTCCCTGCTTCTGAAGTCTGGTAACCAGATCACAGGCAAGCCATTTTAATTCATACTCTGACCTTTCTCTCTTGTGGGGCTCAAAACCAGCTCAAGATGCCCAGAGGCTACACAAGCCCCTTAGTTTTTCTCAAGCACACTCTCCCCAACAAAAATGCCCAGTGCTCCCTGCCTGTCTCCACCTTTTCTCATATCCTAGTTAGAAGCAAGAGTTGAAAAACAGTGGATCAGAGACAGCATGTGTGTGGGTATGCATGTCTGTGCCATGTGTGGATCAGACTCAACAGTGTTCAATGCAGTGGGCAGAAGTGAAGGAAGAAAAGACAGATATTCAGTCTTTTCATAAATACTTATTTTCATAAATAATTTATTTTTTAAAAAAATCTCACCTTTTATTACAGTTACCCAGAAAACCTGATTCCCAGTATTTTCATTATGCTTTTTATAATTCTTTATGGAGTTTTGCTTACCAAAAGCAAGAATGTTGATCATCATGAAAGAAAGAAATTTGGTTGCATTTTTCTGCAAGAAAGTTCCCCACCAAGCCAACAGCTGTATGCAGTAGTCATTGACACGGGTTTTCGCTCTCCAGCTCAGCTGACTGCAAAGGTAACCAGGGTTGTCCTAGCTGTGCCTGAAAAGTGCTTTCAGCAGAAATGCATAATTTGAAAGTTTAACAAAACTATTGAGCCTATTGTTAAGATAAATACATCAAAGGCATTGATATATAACTGCACTAACTAGTTAGAAAACATAATAGAAAACAAGATCCTTTTCATCACAGCCAGAGAATGATGAGGTACCTAGAAATAAATCCATCAACTATAATATCATAATATGAAATAAAGATGTTCTAGAAGAAATAACTATGAGACACTAATAAATTACCTCAGAATTATAAATTTCTAAAAAAAAGAATTATAAATTTCTATTAAAAAGGAAAAGAAACATGTAAGAGGTGCCAAGCCCGATTCCAGGCTGGGAACATGTGTTTTCAAGTAGGTCATGCCAATGCAGGAGTGCTGCGCTCCTACCTTGCACACTGGTCTAGCCCCTATGTTCATGACCTCTCCTGCTATGGAAGGGATGAGGATCGTTCATGACTAATGCTGTGTTCCCTAGTCGATCATGGAAAAAGAAATGTCCTAGAGAATTGACATTGGGCTCTGCTTTTCTAGGTCAAATGTATGAAAACCTAATATACCTCTGCTGACATGACTTCCCTGCCTTCCCTTGTGTTCACCCCCTAAGCCCTTGACTATGCTGTGGACACTGTGCCCTCAAGGATAGCTTTGTAGAGGGAAGTTAGGAGACAGTATAACCAAGATAATCTTGTCTGCCATGGCAGCTACCTTGACCTGTTACCTCTCTGTCTTGCTTTGTGAGGTTTACATGGTTTTATATGGAGAAAATGGACTTTCAGAAACCAAAGAGCTCTACTGTCCAGAGAAGCCCTTATTTGAAAGGAATTCCAGACACACCTTTATCCTGAGGTATTTTGAAATATTTTGACTGCATAATTTGAGAAAGCAGACCATTCAAAATTTGTGTTCCCTTATTAAAAATCCAAAAATGTAGGAATACATAGTATAAGTTTCTAAACCTGTAACCAATTTTATACTTTAGAGTTTATGTTTTGGAAGAGTTTAGTGTCTTTATGTGAAGACAGGAGGGAAAGAAGGGGAGAAGAAAGAGAGAGAAAAAGACTGAATTATTAATTCAACATGGTAGGAACACTTACAATGACAGCATTTTCTATGCTATTGAACATTATTCAATTACTTGGGGTCATCTCAGTTCAGAAGAACAAGCACATATGCTATTGTTGTTAAGTGCTATTGGGTCGACCTGAATCTTCCCATATCCTGTGCAATCCTCATCATATCTGACAAATTTGAGCCCATTGATGAAGTCACTATGTCAATATATTTTATTGGGGGTCTTCACTGATCCTCCATATTTCTAAGCATGATGTATGTTTCCAAAGAATAGCCTCGCCTAGCAACGTGTCAAAAGTGTGAAAGATGAAGTTTTCACTCTGTGCACTTTTCCCAAGACATATCTGTTTGTTCTTTTGGCAGTCATGGGCTATTCAGTTTTCTTCTCTAGCACCACAACTCAAAAGTGTCAATTCATCTTTTGTCATCCTTATTCACTGTCCAGTTCCCTAATGCATAGTAGATGATTGAGAAGGCCATGACCTGAATTAGATATGCCTGAGTCTTCAAAATAACATCTTAGTTCTTCATCATTTTGGAGAGCCCCCTAACAATGGACATGCCCAATGCACATCTCTTGACTGCTGGTACCAAGGGTGTTGATTGTTGATCCATCAATCATAATGTTGATTGTTGGTCCTGTAGTAAGAACCTTTGTCTTCTTGATTTTGAGCTGAAATCCATACTGAAGCTGTAATCCTTTATCTTCTACAGGAAGTTTAATATCTTTCTCACTTTCAGCCATCAAAATTCTGTCATCTACATAACCCCAGTTGTTGATGGATCTTCCTCTGATCCTGCTGCCACATTCTTCTTCTTAGAATTTAGCTTCAAGAGTTATTTGCTCAGCATACAGATTGAATAGGTGTGGACAAAGGATACAACCCTGATGCACACCTTTCCTGATTTTAAACCTTTGCTCAGTTCAGACAGCAGTTTCTTGATCTAGGTATATATTTCATATGAGCACAATTAAGTGTTCTGGAATTTCCATTCTTCACAATGTTAGCTATAATTTGTTATGATCCACAAAGTCAAATGCCTTTGCATAGTTCATAAAACTCAAGTAGATAGTCTTTTAGAATTCTCTGATTTCAGTCAGGATCTATCTAACATCAGCAGTAATACTGCTGGTGCTGCTGCCTCTTCTAAACCCAGCTTGAACTTTCAGAAGTTCTCTGTCAATGTACCATTCTAGTTGTTTTTGCTTCAACAATATTTTGCTTGGAAGGAGGAGTGGCATCCACTTCCATAATAGCTTGCCTCTGGAAACACTATGAACCTGGAGAGAGGATGAAAGGCACCCAAACGTTGAGGACTCTCTTTCATAGGGTTGCTATGAGTCGCCAGCGACTCGACAGCACTTAACAACAACAACATTTTGCTTGCATAAGATAATAATGATATTGCTCAATAATTTCCATATTCTGTTGGATTACCTTTCTTGAGAATGAGAAAAATATAGATCTCTTCCAATCAATCTAGTAGATAACAGTTCTCCAAATTTTCTGGCATAAGCTGGTGAACACATCAAGGGCTACAACCGTTACTTGAAACACATCAATTGCTATTCCATCTATTCCTGGATTATTTTTTGCCAGTGCCTTCAGTGCAGCTTGAATGTTATCCTTTATCATCATTGGCTCTTATTAAAATAGCATTTCCTGATGTTTTTTAGTGTCAACTAATTGTTTTTGGTACAGAAATTCTGTATGTTCCTTCCATCTTCTTTAGAGTTTTCTGGACCTTTGAAGATTGTGCCTATAACATCTCTCAATACTGGAATTCCAGGCCTGAATTTAGTTTTCAGTTTTTTTAGCTTGAGAAATGCTAAGTGAGTTCTCGCCTTTTCTGCTGCAATTTTCATAGTCTCTTCTGACATCATTTTGGTTTCTTCTTTCCTCTCAGTCTTTGTCATGATTTTCTCTTCATGAATGATACATTTGATGTCCTCCTACAGTTTCTCTGGTTCCTGAGATGATTCTTAAATTCAACTAGAATAAACTTAAGGTAGTATTTTGGTTCCTCTGAACTAGTTTTAATTTTCTTTAGCTCCAATTTAAACTTGCACATGAGTAATTTATAACCTGTTCTGCAATTGGCACGTGGTCCAGTTTTGCCTGTAGATACTGCAATTCTCCAGGAATTCTTCCTACAAATATATTCAATCTGACTATTGTACAATCCATTAGGTGAACTCTATGTGTAAACTAGACATTTGTGGTTTTTTAAAAAGAAAAGTATTTGCTATGACTAAATCATTGAGCACATAAAATTCAATTATTCTATCTCCACCCTAATTTAAGTCACCAAGTCCATACTTTCTATTATTCCTTCCTTTTGTTTCTAACTTTTGTGTTCCATTTAGTAACGGTTATTAATGCATTTTTATTGCATGTTTGCTCAATTTTAAACTGTACATTTGGTAGAAACTCTCAATTTCCTTATCTTTAGCTTTAGTTGCTGGTGTATGTACTTGAATAACAGTTGTATTAATGAGTGTTTCAAGTATGTGAATGAATAGTATCCTATCACCCACAGCATTATACTTCAGGATGGATCTTGAAATTGTCTTTCTAACTATAAAAGCAACACTATGCTTCGTCAGGTTTTCATTCTCAGTATAGTAGTTCATGCGATTGTGTGATTCAAATTGGCTCGTTCTTGTTCATCTCAGTTCACTGATATGTAGAATGTCAATCTTCGTGCATTCCATTTCATTTTTGGAAACTTCCATTTCCCCCATATTCATGCACTGTACATTCCATGTTTTTATTATAAATAAATGTTTTCAGCTGTTTCTATTAATTTTTAGTGACTTTCTATATGGACTCTATGTCTAATTCTGTAACTGCCCTGTAACTAAGCAGCACAAATATGATGAGGTTGGACAAGAGGAGTCATTTATCAAATATTGAGCTCCAAATCTTGAGGTTTTTATAAAATATAAAAGTACTGAGATAAATTTTTTCTGCTAGGAAATATTTCTTATAACATTTACTCATTTAGACTGCTATATCCTCAATAAAAGAATAAAGTTTAGCCCATGAACTTGATAACAGAAATGAAGTTGGTGATAGAATAATTGAGTTTTGCACAACCAATGGCTTATTCATTGTAAATACATTTTATAAGAAACATAAACGCAGGTTATACACATGGATTTCACCAGATGCTATGCATAAGAATCAGATTGATTACATCTGTAGAAAAAAACCACGAGAGAAGCTCAAGATCAGCTGTGAAAACTAGGCCAGGAGCTGATTGTGGAACTACTCATATGCAAGTTCAAGCTGAAGCTGAGGAAAATTAAACTGAATCCGCAAGAATCAAAAAATGACTTTGAGTCTATCTCACCTGGATTTCAGAAACATCTCAAGAACAAGATTGAGGCCTTGAACACTAATGAGCAAAGACCAAAAGAGTTGTGGGAGGATGTCAAAGGTATCATCCAGGAAGAGTGCAAACAGTCATTACAAGACAGAAGAGGGAAAAAAAGACCAAAATGGATGTCAGAAGAAACTCTGAATATTGCACTGGAGTGCAGAGAAGCCAAAGCACAAGGAAGAATTCAAGACACTAAAGAGCTGAATAGAAGATTCCAAAAGGCAACATGGGATGACAAAACAAAATACTACAATGAAGTGTGCAAGGAGCTGGAGTCAGAAAGTCAAAAGGGCCGAAATCACTCAGCATTTCTTAAGCTCAAGGAACTGAAGAACAAATTCAAACCTCAAGTTGCTATAATCAAGGATGCTTTAGGCAGAATATTAAATGATCCAGGAAGTATTAAAAGAAGATGGAAAGAATATACTCAGTCATTGTATTGAAAGGAATTGGCAGACACAGAAGAATTTCATGAAACAACATATGAGAAAGAGCCTATGGTGATGAAGGAAGAAGTTCAGGCTGCTTTGAAGGAAATGGCAAAAAATAAGGCCCCAGGAATAGATTGTATACCAATTGACATATTTCCGCTAACAGATGTTGCCCTGGATGTGCTTACCAAGTTGTGCCAAGAAATCTGGAGAACGACCACTTGGCCAACTGACTGGAAGAGGTCTATATTTTTTCCTATCCCAAAGAAAGGTGACCCAACAGAGTGTGGAAACTATAGAACAATTTCATTGATTTCACATGCAAGCAAGAGTCTACTGAAGATTATCCAAAAATGATTAGAACAGCACATCCACAGAGAACTAACAGAAGTCCAGGCTGGGTTTAGAAGGGGTTGTGGTCTTGGAACTTAGCTGAAAGAGGGGAATACCAGAGGAATGTCTATCTGTGTTTCATTGACTATGGAAAGGCGTTTGACTGTGTGGATCAAAACAAACTGTGGCTGACTCTGAGAAGAATGGGAATCCCAGAACACTTGATCGCTCTAATGTGAAAGCTATACTTGGACCAAGAGGCAGTCATCAGAACAGAGCAAGGAAACACTGCAAGGTTCAAAATTGGAACGGTGTACAACAGGAATGTGTCCTATCTCCATACCTTTTCAACCTGTATGCTGAACAGATTATCCAGGAGGCTGGGTTCTATGAGGAGAAATGTGGGGTCAAGATTGTTGGAAGATCTATCAACAATCTGCATTATGCAGATGACACAACCCTGCTTGCTGAAACTGAGGAGGACCTGAAGTGCTTGCTGCAGAGGGTCAAGGACTGCAGCCTCCAATATGGATTGAGGTTCAATCTCAAGAATCCAAAGATTCTCATCACTGAGCCAATTGGCAGCATCAGGATGGACGGTGAAGAGATTAAGATTATTAACAACTTTAGTCTGCTTGGCTCCACAGTCAACACTCTTGGCACTGTCAGCCAAGAAATTAAAAGACATAGGAAAGTCTGCTGTTAGGGACCTCTCCAAAGTACTGAAGAGCAATGGTGTCTCTCTGGAGACTAAGGTGCATCCGATACAGGCTATGGTCTTTGCTATCACTTGTTATGCATCAGAGAGATGACAATGACTAGGGAGGATAGAAGGAGAATTAATGCCTTTGAGCTGTGGTGCTGGAGAAGAGTATTGAATGTACTGTGGACTGTTAAGAAAACAAACAGATTCATCCTGGAGAGGCTTAAACTGGGCTGCTCCTTGAAGGCAAGGATTCTGAGGCTTTGTCTGACATACTTTGGACATATTGTAAGGAGGGACCAGTCCTTGGAGAGGGACATCATGCTTGAGAGGGGGAAGGGACAGCGCAGGAGGGGAAGACCATCTATGAGGTAGATTGATTCAGTGACTGGGGTAATCAGGATGGATGTGTCAGAGGCAGTGCGATTGGCACAGGATAGAGCAGGGTTTAGGACTGTTGTACATAGGGTTGCTATGAGTTGCAAGCGACTCGATAGCACATAACAACAGTCCAAACTCACTCACTTGTTGCCATCAAGCCAAAACCAACTCATATCTGACCCTCCAGTGTGTTTCCAGAGGCTGTAAATGACACAGAGGGAATTGTCCATATTTCTCGTGACTGAACTACTTGTTTTTCGTAGGCAGTACAACTCCTTACCTATGATATAAATATTTTAGTGAATACGGTAAAGGAAAACTAAGAGATGTTAAAAACCGGTGTGCACAGTCACTATTATCATGGCTTTGTGGCCTCCTGTTTTGACATGGTTATAGGGATCTCCAAGATTTAGTTGTCTGTTCCATGTAGAACAGTTGCCCAGAGGACTTGCATATACTTCTTGATATGACAATTATTTATTATATATCTGAAACACATGGAGTTATCATGAAGCAAAGTTTACTCCAAGATTACTCTTTGTATTTGTCTGATATACCCAGCTTAAACTAAAATTGCCCTAAGAGTGAGAACCACACTTCTCTGTACCCCTGCAATCAGTGGGCAATACTTTGGCTAATGAAGTTCTATTACATGTATCCTCAGCGTTCCTGGTCATCTTGGCCATCTTTGGAAGATCCGCCTCTGGCACAACAATTTTGGTCTTTCTCCAAGCTGGTACATTAGCCACCTGCTGGTGAAGGAGTTGAGCACTGGGAAAAGCTGGTTTTTCCCTGCAGAGTGCTGGCTTGCTGCAGGACGAGGGGATGGAAAGGTAGAGAGAGAGCTCATCCCACTGTACCAAGGCCTTGGCTTCTGGAAGGTAGGCCAAGACAGAATTAATCACTACATCAATGCATATTCATATAACTCATATTCTTTAACACTCTTTTGCTACATTAATTTGTTAAAACTGTTTTTAAAATTAAGTTTTGGGTTTTTTTTTAAATTTTAAACTCATTTTAATGTTAAGGTAAATAATACATGCTGTGCAGTCACATTGCAAAGTTGCAGTGAGAAATAATAGTTTAAAAGATACGATGGAATCACTGTGATTTCAATGGCATAAAGGAATCATTGATTCAGTCCCTCAGATGGTGGTGGTGGTGGTTGTTATGTGCTGTTGAGTTGCTTGTGACTCATAGCAACCCTATATACAATAGCCCTAACCCCTGCTCTATCCTGTGCCAACCTTATTGTTTCCAACACACAGCCTCAAATAATCAGGGAAGCATCTTCAACTGTTCCTAAGGTCCATAAGCAATGGAATACTACATCACATTAGAACATAACAATTAATCTGCAAAAAACACTCATGATAGATGAACAAGGAGAGCATTTTCTGCCAAGTGAAATAAGTCTATTACAAAAAGACCAGGAGTATGTGCTTGAAAGGAAAGATAATATCCAATAAAGGGATAATCAGCACACTATCACCAAGGCAAAGGGGCACATGGAGAAACAAACAAGAGTTACAGACAAAAAAGATGAATACTGTTACATACACAATCGTATAGTATCAGTAATAACATTTTGCATGATCTTGTGATGGTGAATAACACTGCTGTGAACATTGGTGTACAGATCTCTCTGTCTCAGTTCTAATTTCCTTGGGATATATTCTCAGTAGTGGAATAGCTAGCTGGGTCATATGAAGTTTCTATGTTCAACTTTTTTAAGAAACAATAATTCTTTTTCTTGCTTATCAAGATGCTGGAATATGAAATGATTCAGACATTAAGTGACTATAGGATTATTAATTAATAGCCTTTCCCAATTACTGATAAATTCTGTAGAACTTTTCTACTTTAAGTAAAATAATATTTATGAAAGTTGGGGTTGTCAGAAGTATGTGCTGTCTCAAGGCCTCTAATTAACCACTCTTATTGTTGTTGTTATGTGCCATCGAGTCACCCAACTGGAACCCATTCTGGCTTCACCTTCTCCAGGACAAACCTGTTTGTTCTCCTAGCAGTCCATGGTATATTTAACACTCTTCTCCAGCACCTCAGCTCAAAGGCATAAATTCTCCTTCTATCAGCCCTATTCACTGCCCAATTCTCTGATGCATAGCACGTAACTTCGAAGACTATAGCCCAGATCAGGTGCACCTTAGTCTCCAGCCTGATGTCGTTGCTCTTCAGTACTCTTGAGAGGTACCTCACAGCTGACTTTCACAATGCAATTTGTCTTCTGATTTCCTGGCTGCTGTTACCAAGAGTGTTGATTATGGAGCAAAGCAAACTAAAACTGTTAACTATCTCAATCTCTTCACCGTTCATACTGATGCTGCCAATTGGCCTAGCAGTGAGAATCTTTGTTTTCTTGATGTTGAGCTTCAATCTATATAGGAGGCTGCAGTCCTTGACTTTCTTCAGCAAGCGCTTCAAGTCCTCCTCAATTTCAGCAAGCAGGTTGTTGATGACACTTCCACCAATCCTGATGCCACATTCCTCTTAGTACAGCCCAGCATCTCGGATGATCTGTTCTGCATACAGATTGAAAAGGTATAGAGACAGAATACATCCTTGATGGACCCCCTTCTTGATTTTGAACCATGTAGTGTGTTTCCTTGCTCTGTTCTGATGACTGCCTCTTGGTACAAGTATAGGTTTTGCATTAACACAATCAAATTTTCTGGGATTCCCATTCTTCTCAGAGTCAGCCACAGCTTGTTGTGATCCACACAGTCTCTCATATATGGTGCTATTGGCTCAGAATAGGTCAGTATTCAGAGCTATTTTACACAAGGTCACTATTTTACACAGGTGACTCAATGACACATAGAAACAACTCATTTATTTCAGGATGGATCTAGAAATGGTCTTTTTTACTATGAATGTGACTGCAATTTTCCATTCCTGATATAGTAGATTAAATGGCCTTTGCTAAACCATCTCAGCTCTCCAATTCGTAGTATGTCAATACTTATGTGATCCATTTTTTAAAAAACATTGCCTAATTTTCCTACTTGTTACAATCCACATTCCAATCATAAGTAGTCTTTTGCAACTGTTTCTCTTCATTTGTGTTTTTCAATATGAGGGCTATCCTCCAGTGCTATATTTATTAGTCTAGATCTTGTTTTTGTGTTCTTTAGCTTCAGTTTGAACTTGCACATGAATGGTTTATGTTTGCTCCACAATGAGCACCTAGACTATTTTTCACAACTAGTGTTGAGCTTCTCTGACGATTCTTTTTAGAAATATAATCAATCTGATTTCTGTATATTTGATACGGTGAGGTACATATGTATAGTGTTCTATTGTTCATAGAGTCTTTGGAGGCTTGTTAATTCTTCCTGGTCTGTTTTAATTTGGAAGTTGAACTTCAGTCCAAAATCTGACAGACAATTGTTTTATCCAAAAGAGCAGATGAAAAACATCCATAAGATAAATTTTCTGGTCTTGTGCTCTCCCAACTGGCCAACAGCATCTTCCCCTCCTTCCTTCTTCTCTGCCCGAGCCCACTCCTTCTTTTCTCCTCCCTGTCCTAATAGTGGCTGTTAAGCAAGTCCTGACCTAATTCCTGATATGATGGCTCAGGCCTCCAGTCACTTCTATCCATTCATCATCTCTCTGCTATCCAGTGATGATGGTTCTCTGGGCCTCCCAGTGCACTGCTACTCATGATCTCTCCAGTGTATGTTCTGATGTTCCTAGGCTTGGTTGGTTCCCTGGTATGCTGGGTTTCCCCCTCACATCTGCATGTCATCTCTCCTCACTCTGGCGTATCATCTTGCCTACTTGTTCCAAGAGAAGAAAAGATGGAGATGGATGTTAGAAGAGACTTGTACTAGAACACTAAGAAGCCAAAGCAAAATAGAGAAATCAGAAAGTTAAGGAACTGAACAGAAGAAAACAAGGGGTAACTTAGGAAGACAAACATAATATTATAACAAAATGGGCAAAGAGCTGGAGTCAAAGAATCCAAAGGAACAAATTTGCTCAGCATTTCTTTTTTTTTTTTTTTTTTGGCTGAGTACAGGGTACTTTATTGATGGTACATGACAAGGTGGGCTTGCCAAGCCCCTCCCCTTTCTCAGGGGGATTTCATGGAAACTTGTGTCAAGGATGTGAGATTCTCAGTGTGTGGGAGGATCAAGTTGGGGCAAGGACTCCCCAGCAGCTGAGGGTCTCTCTCTTCTAGTGCTATTGCTGGGGCTGGTGGTCCAAGGGGATCTTATTCTTTGGAGGCCATGTGAACCATCAGGTCGACCACCCGGTTGCTGTAGCCAAATTCATT